CCTCGTGCTCTTGCTTTACATTTCTCTATTCCAAGATGTGCATAATGAATTCTATTCATTTTTCTCATTGATTGAGGAATGATTATGCTTTTGAATAAAACACCATCAGCATACGATATTTCATTGCAAAAATTCCAAAATTTGGAAGTGGAATTTCGTACCTCGTCTTTTTGTGACCAACCTTCCATTACAGCTTTGTATAGATCTTGCATTTCGGGGTCTTTGCTGGTTTCTTCTACGAGTTTATGGTAAATGTTTTCTGAAATTCTACCGTTACTAAGCACGTGTACTTCGTATTCGTCAAATTCTTGTTCATCATTTCCGTTCAATTCCTGTGTAGACCTTGACAAGGCTTCTGCGATCTGCAATTTATCACCAGGTTTATAACGTACATCGAGAGAATATGGTTGAATTCGTAATATCATTTTCTGCAAACGAGTTGGTGCACAATATATTGGCTTTTTTTAATACGGACTCTAGTGGTTTATGATCGGATTCTACGTGCACGAGCTTTTTACCATACAAATAATCGTGGAAACGCTCGCAGCCAAAAGTGATCGCCAACATTTCTTCCTCATACCGTTGCTGACATTTTGTCAATGCCTTTGACGCATATGCAACAGGCTTTCCATCTTGGATTAAAACTGCACCCATACCTTTGGAGCTGAAATCTACAGAAAGTGTTACTGGCTCTGTTACTTCAAAATATTTCAGCACATGAGCAGCTGTTATAGCAGATTTCAAGTCATATGATTTATTATGCACATGTTCCCAATGCCAACAAACAGCTTTCTCCAAAAGAATACGCGAAGGAGCGGCAATTTGAGATAGATTTTAAAAAAATTTTGCCAAATAAGTTATTACCCCCAAAAATCTTTAACATTTTATGGAACTGTCATATCGTGAACTGCTTTGACTTTATTTTAATCGGGTTTCAAACCTTCATCAGTTAGCAAATGTCCAATATAACTCACCTCGTTGAGTCTGAATCGACACTTACTCCTGTTTAGTTTCAAATTACTTTTTCTGGCGATGTCTAGAATTTTGGCAAGACGTTCATCATGCTGTTTTATGTTCTCGCCCCAAATTAGCAAATCGTCGATGATACCTTCTAGAGTTTCAAAATGATGAGTCATAATTTGTTGGGAAACCTCTGGGGCAGACTTAATACCAAATGGCAAACGTTGAAAGCAATATCTTCCAAATAGCGTATTGAAAGTACAGAGCTTCCTTTGCTCAATTTGACTAGCCAAAAACCATGATTTGCATCTAAAACACTGAAAACTTCAGCGTTAGGCATGCGACTTACAACATCTTCGATAGACTGCATAGGAAAATGAGATCTTTTAATTGCTTTATTCAAATCGGTCGGGTCGATGCAAATTCTAATCTTGATATTTTTCTTACGTACCATAACCATGCTATTAACCCAGTCAGTAGGAGTGTTTACTTTCTTAATAAAATTAAGTTTTTCCATTCGATCAATTTCAGACTTTAAAGAATCTCCTATGGCTATCGGAACTCTGCGTGGTGCATGAACAACAGGCGTTACATTGGGATCTATCGTAATTTTATATTCGGATCTACTAATCAAGCCTAACCCGGTAAAAACATCGTCGTATTGACATTCTACGTCTACCGCACCACTGGTAACGGCGTTTACACGTTTTATAAGTTCCCATTCCATACATGAAGGTAAACCAAGAACAGGTTGGAACATTGTAATTAACAAGCAAAATAGCCCTTTATAAGAACAAAGTATAGAGACCTTACCGTAGGCTTTAACCTTACGTCCATCATACATCCTCAGGTTTGTTCTTGTATGGTTAATCTTTTATATTCTTAGACGCAATTCATCAAAAGTCTCTTTTGACATTACGTTACAGTCCGCATCGGAATCTAGTTTAAATTTAACTAACTGGTTGTTTATTCTAAAATCAACGAACCATTTCTTTTCAGTCTCGCTAACGACCGAAAACATCTTCGTCTTCAGAGATCAAGCTCACTACTTTTTCTTTGCTCGATTTATAGTCTTCTTGCTTTGTCCTGCATACTTTCTCAAAATGTCCAATATTCTTGCAAAATCGACACTTCTTTCCGAAAGCTGGGCATTCTCTAGGTGCGTGGCTATCACCACAGTATTTACAATGTTTTACGTTTTCCCATTGTCGCGTAGAACCAGTCTTGACGAACGAGCTCTTGTGTTTTGATTGCATAATGTTGTCACCAGACGACCCACTCGAGTAATTATCCATTTATGTATTTGTTGTTTTGACGTCTCTGCAGCTCTGGCCATGTTTATAGCGTGAACAAGCGTTAGTTCATCTTCTCTTAGCAGTCTCTCTTTTACTCCACGCATATTGAAAATAAAACAATCCCTTATCATATCTTCTTGCTCTTCTTTGAACGCGCCAGAAGATACATCAGTTCAACACAATCAAACGATAACAGTTTAATTAACATTGAAGCACATTGACTAAGATAGCTACAGACAGTGACAGATACCGACCGACAAGAATCAAGAACCGATAGCTTTTATATGTCCATCGACACTTGTGGTGAGATTGGCCTAACACAAATACGTCACACACACGTGAACTTATAAAGCAGCCAATCAAAGCGCCGTCCACCCGACACGCCACAAAATCACAACACATGACAGACTGCAGCTCAACATCCACAAGTTGAACAGCTTGGTGACGGTAGGTAAGGGAATGGACTTCAGCATCCGCAGAAAGATACCGTCCGGTCCGGGTGATGATTCGGTCAGTCATTTTACAGTGTTGAGGACTACCTCCTTTGTAATAGGCTCAATGTTGGTGATGTTATGTTTCCTTGTCCCACTCAGCGCAGGAGGTTTCTTCTTGCGGGATAAAGTTTGAAACTTCTTGTATTCAAGTCTGCGCTTCTGCCGGTTACTCATCCTCTCCGCTGGATGTTTGTGCGAGGGTCGGTTTGACACACGTGGAGAGGTTGATGAGTGGGAGGTCATCTCCAAAGCGTGCTTATTAAGTAGAGACTTTCGTCACCATCGAGACGACGGCGGATGGCCCCGTCAAGCATTGGCGCTCCCCAGGAATTGTTGTTTGATATTCCCGGAGAGTCGAGATATTCCCAGGACTTATTTTTCCAACTGTTTTTTCCAATCGCGTCAACACCGGGTTGCGGCCATCGCGATGCTTTGTTCTAATTCAGGGGTCACCAAACTTTTTTGACCGCGGGCCGGGTATGACTCAAACTGGGTTGAAACGGGCCGGATGAATATTTTTGTCAATGCAATAAAATAAATTCACAAAAGTTGGGAAATTTATCCAATTTATTTAACAATATATATTCTACATTTCTGAAGACTTGAATATTTAATTCTATCTATATCGCAGAATATAGATCAAAACCATCATAGGAAAACAAATATACAAGATTTCTATATCTAGACAACTATCCTGAGTTTAGCTGTTAGCAAAACGTTGCTGTCATGAATTAGGAATGTTACAAAATCGGCTATTCCGCGCCAAAATAATGTACGCTTCACGTCTGCTAAGTACTGTTACGCCGTGTTGAAATACTGCTACTGCTAAAAACGACTACGGACTGCCTGCTGTAGCTTGGAATTCCATGAAATTTTGACATAATTTAGATAAAATAAACAACATACCTGGTATTTGATTTTTTCATTAGCGCACACTTTTCTCAGCTTTCGACGCTTTTAAAAATTCCGCCTCCCCCCTTTTACACGTAGTGCAAATTAAACTATCATGCACAACTCCAGCGTTTATTTGCGACGATTTTTCGGCGGTTTCAATGACCGTTGCCAGAATAAAATCCCGAAATAGTCTCAATATTAGTGATTGACATGTGTTATTTTTTCATATTTATTACAGTTCTCAAAAAGTAATACAATCCTTATGAAAATAATTTCCCTGTCGGGCGGTACTAAAATTCCGATATCTCGGTTATTTCTTGACCGTTTTTTATAAACTTGGTACTGTTTTCTATTTTCACTCAGATCTATCCACTGGCGCAGTTTTTATTTAAATCGGATTTTTTTTTGTAACATACTACATGAATATCCGCATTTGAGCAGTAGGCCTACAAAAGTTAGTGTGACTTATGAAATTGGAGCAGTACGCGAGGGATTATAGTACTGTTAGCGCAAAATGCACATTCAACATTTATTTTAGCACAAGAAACGTAAACAGTTTCGTCGAAAGCACGCGCAACGAGTGTACAAGTGCATCTTTCGCAGAAAACGTTGCGTACCGGTGGAGAATTTTAGCCTATTTTTCACAGCTATTTCTAGACTAATTTTTTATTACTACTATTAAAACTACAACTCCTAAGGATGCAAATGATAATTGACTTATTTGATTCATACTTAAATTTCCGAAACACAATCAAAAACTAACGAATGGCATTCAAAGTCGCAAAAACGAATTATTGTTTACAACCACGACTGGAAATCTGTCAGGATGACAAAAGTTATCTGAGCTAAGATGCGAAGAGGCTTTTTATTACGTCACGTTTTTTTGCATCTTGCTGATTGGTCAATGTTACGAAATAAACAATGAAAGACGATGCTCAGGGTAATCTTCCTTGGAAAAAATTTAGCCATTTTTGCGTGTTATTGCGGGCCGGATGAAATGACGCCGCGGGCCGTAGTTTGGTGACCCCTGTTCTAATTAAACAGTCGGATTCCCCTGGTCCTTACCAGTTCTAAGTTCGACGCCGACCGAAGCGAGCCGTGAGGAAAGAGTTCTCTTTAGCCAGTGCGGCAACTGACTTCCTAAATAATTGAAATGGCAGTTTTCTGCTTCGTTTTGTCGGTATACTAACATCGAAAGAACTTAGTCCATAAATATTTTTAACGGTCCGTGTGTGTGTTCGTATGTCCCGATGTAGAACTCACAGTAATCTGCATACGAAAATAATACTTTCATTTGTTGATCATGCATCTGATATGAACTGACCCGTCTTCACAAATATTTCCTTTTCAACAATAATCGAACACGGATTACATTTATTCAATATTATTCTGATTACACAAGAAGTACGTTCTATTGAGAGATACAAATTTATGAAATGCAATTCTCCGAAAACGCCAAATTCCCTGTCGCCGATTGTAGAAAGTTTTATCCAGAAAATGTCACTCTCTCCAACTCGACGTCACCGTTGACGGAAATCCTTCTAATCCTTTTCAATGATCGAAGGCGTTTTTTGAATAGGAAAGCGTGTGAGCCATTAATTTTTACATCAAAGCCTTTTTTCACCACGCTTATTTTCACCTGTAATTATAGGTAATTGGTTGACGAAAGGATTTTATACATTTAGCTACCGTATATATGTTAATTTCTGAAACACACAGACAACGCTTCATACTCGGAGTTTTCTTACTTCAACAAAACTGACCTGAAATGGGACACCCTGGTAGAAGGGAAACGGTGTTGCCAGATCGCGTTCCTCTTGGGCCCAGCCACCATCATCTTTGCTGTTTCGTACGATTTGCTGTTCGTTCATTCTTGGATTAAAATGAAGATGAATATTGTCCCCGCCCACGAAGTCTACTGAAAATCTGTAAATTAACGTTACTATCGTTTATATTACATTCGTCATAACTGAGGTTTTTCGTATTCTATAATAAATATAGAACGATAATTCAACCATAGTAATATTCACCTTCCTTCCGAGCTCGTTGGCTTTCCAGCGAAAGTAATAGAATGTTCTCGAATATTAAAGACTGGAACATTAAAGTTTAACGTCACTGACTGCAAAAGAGAAGTTTTGGAATATAATTGACAGACTTGAATAAATTTTGTTGTATGATAAATGGTGACTATAACATCCAACATCTATAACATCCAATTAGATACAGGCAAATAACATTTGATTATAAAGACTTTATATTTGGGCGAAACTTTTTGGACACCCTGTATATTAATACAGACTTTCGGGTTTAAATGGAAATTTGCGGAGCCCTTGGACTGTACTGGCGGAACCCCGATTGAAAATTTCTGCTCTAGACCGTCATTGTATAGGAAGAGCGTCATAGGACATTACTCACCGGTTTTTCCAGAATTTGAATCGGAATCTCCTGAAATATAAAACACAATTACAACGAAACAATAGAATACGCAAGTTGGTTAATTGAAAAATGAAATCAAGGTATTCGTCGCGAGGGAAAAAACTCAAGTCAAGACACTTAAGTTATCAGCAGTAGCAGCTTGTTTTTGTATAACATTGGGATATGCTGTCGCTGAAATCGATTTATCGAACCTTGTACAACTCCCAGAGCGCAATCATGTGAATAAAATAACCATTTATTGAAAACGCGCTTGCAAGCATCAGTGTTAGAGACAGAAGATGAAATTACCGAATCACAGCCGTTTCAACACATGATTAGTGATTTTGAAACGCTTCGAATTTTGAAGTTAAATTGCTGCACCTCAGGTACGAATATGATATCTACAACTACAATTCGTACAAAACAATATTCACAATCATAAGAGTCTCCATATTCATAGTGGATCAAAATACAAAGTTTTTGTTGAAAGAGAATACTTTGATATTTTTGTTTCAGCTAAACTTTCCTTACTTACCAGACCCTTTATACCAGTGCACACGAGGCTGACATCACAATCTTGAGTCACCTGAACATGGGTGACGGAGTTGAGCGCCATTCGGTGCTTGAATGTTGCATACGACTTATATCGGTTACATCGAATCTGGGATAAAATAACAGCAGTCAAAGAACAGTAGCAAATATATATGGCTTCCATTTATGATTAAAATATCAATATTTGTACCTCGTAAGCGTCGGGGTGGCAAATTATCCAAATTCCAAAGGGAGATCCTGGTTTGCTAAAAGGGAACTTATCCAGCGGTTCTCGCTCTTCCTTTTCCCACCCAACTCCACTTTTGCGAGAATTTCTTACAACAACGCCCTTGCCAGCAAAACGTGGATTCACATGTAGTGCTATTTCGCTTCCACCCGTTCCACACAGGAGATTAACAGCAAAACTAACAATATAAAACCCATTATGGTTGTCGAAATTATAAATACATTAGACGTTTCATTCGTCGGATTTATTATCGATGAGTTCAATTTTAGTTTTCTGGTATTTCATCGTAAATACATCGATACAAATAAATCAGTGAACTAGTAATATTCTAATCCGGTAATCGGTAGTTTATTTTTTCACCACACGGAAAATACGCATTGTACATACAGAACGAAGTAAAAAATTAGATTTCAACCACTACTACGGGTTATCGAGAAGCGACACCTATGAATGAAGGGGTAATAATTCAATTTAAATACTTCTTTTTGACAAACAACTATTAAATGAGAGAATAACCTGGCATCATCCTTCTTGTGGCTTCTTCCATAAATATATATGATTTTTCCCACAAACATTCCATTCAGATCCAGTATACTTCCGGTGGACTGTGAAATATATATACATAATTTGAAATTACATAATTTAATTTAATATGTAAACGAGATTCCGGATCCAGGTATCAAGCATTATTAAGATGTTAATGGTGAAGTTTAAACATTCCTTGCTTTTTGGCGATAGCATTTCATCAAATACAACAAATTTCGAGTTATTCTAAACAAATTGTATTTTGACTATATGGTTAATTATTAAATACTGTACAACTATAACCTAACAGTAAAAAAGGCATACCGGATTGAAGGCAGGTTTCATAGCCATCTCAGCAACCTGGTGTTCCGCTACGATGCCGCGTACAAATAATTTAGTCTACGGTATCAAGATACTGAAAATAAAATTTTCCATTGAATAATAGTGAACAGAATGTGTAACGAGAACTAACGAGCAGCGTCAAAGTATTACACACGCGACTCGAGTTATGCATGCGAATAACTCGCATTTGAACTAGCTCAGTCATTAAAAGACTAGACTACTACCATTAAAATACTCAAATTTTGCGAGCTGATGGAGTGGAATCGGAACTACCGGTAGCCGCAATCTTGTTCCAGCCCGTTCACAATAACGTTGAGGACCGCATGCAGCGTCATATCCGCAATTGCAGTGATGCAAGTGCGTTTAGACAACGAATGCCTTCTCTCATGTGTTAATATGATATGCGTTAGTCAAGTTACACGAAACCAAAACATTGATGTATATTACAGGCTACGGATGTCAGATCTAAAGGAAAATGAGTCATTTTGGGCTTTTTGTGTCGCCAGTCTGGGCATACACTGAAACACACATTTGCATTATTTGTAGAATGATCCGCTTTCACTCTTTATTTTCTTTACAGTGTAGTATACATGCATATAAACTTTATATGATTTTCTAAATAGTCTTTGTTGCAAGTTTTTTTTCTAAAGTTAATTAACTTCTCTCTATCTAATTATTATTTACATGATTTTTCAAAATTGCCTGTGCTGTCAATTCCTCTCAATTTGTATCTTTTACTAATTTTATTATATATGTTAGCAAAGTTGCGTTCGCTCTTGAGTTCCCATAAATATTTGTGTTTTAGTCAAATATGTTCACCATCATGACTATTGCATAGTCAACGTTTGAAGCGAAAGCAACTATTTTACACCAAACCCCTGCCAACGCTATAGGTGTCGCTGCTTGAAGACTTAAACCAGGTCCCTCGCGACTCTTGTCGTACAATTAACGTTACTAGTTCATTTATTTTCTCTACCAATCTTTGTGATTTGTTTTTTGATACGACGAATAAATGATTGACTGACTGACTCTCCCTATAATCTGGTATTAATGGCACAGTTTGTCCACTTGTAGCATTTTAAACTATGTCACAAACTAGCAGCAGTTTCCAAGTAGGTAATACCAAACACCAACAGTCATCTAGTTGAACGTTAATCGTAAAAGATGTATTGCTAAAGGAGTTTGAATAAAATTTGAACACCACAAATATAAAATATTTCGCATCGATGAAGTTGAGCTTCATACCCTTTGCCTATCAGTTTTACTAATTCTTTTCGAGTTCCCCGATAGTGACCAATTATATTCGTGGCATCGGGCCATTGTTGTGAGCGAAGTTGCGTAAATCTATATTACTGAAAAATCAAAGTTTAACAGCGGTTTTATTATTAATTTTATTCCCTGATTACTTGACGAAGCCTGTAATAACTTAGGCCTACTTATCTGTCTGTCACTACTGTCTGGTATGCGCGAGACATTATGTAAAGTAATTCCCTGTGGAATTTGTTAGGCCGGAATATGCAGGTTTATGTTAACATGTGCTGTTGGATATCATAGCATAGTTGGATATCATCTTTTAAACAATTTAAAGTTTGGTGAAAACTTAACTCACATTTCACCCTCGAATCTTTTTGCGAAGAAGAGTCCGCTGCCACGACGTAGGTCAACATATGTGTACATTTTTTATTTTAGGTGGTTTTATGCATAATTCGGAGTTAGCAACTAAAAGGGAAGAGTTCTCGTAGAAAAGTTTCAATTAATCGTTGACAACCGAATAGCTAGCTATACGCGGGTCTGCTAGAACCACATGGTCTGATAAAAATATAGGTCTTTTTTGTCGAAAACTTTCTAACGTCGATTCATTAACTGTTAATAACTTAAAATATATAATACACACGTGGGAATTCAATTGCTTTGGATATTTCAAAAACTTTTAATAGGGTCTGGTTCTCTACAAAACTTGATTATATGATAGAAATGGTCCCTTATAGCTAGGGTTATCATATTTTTTCGACTTCAAAGCGGGACGCCTCCTGTAACTTTACAGTTTCCGATTTTACTACATAGGCCTACATTTAAGCCATCCCGGCTGTCTTAATTGGCCATATTTTCACCGAGAGTTCATGCGCATATTCTCCGTCTATATATCGGGTTCAGTTCGAAAACTAGAAAGGAATAGACGCTAACGATACAAATGACCCGAATTTAGATTTGTTTTGTACAGCAAAAAGAATAATGAAATAGTCTGCCGTTTTCAAGCATTGAGAATTTACTTATTCGCCCAAGCATGCTTTTCTGTAGAAACACCTTTGAAAAAACGTTGTTCAATATTACATTCACGTGAACGTCCGAACAGCACCAATATAGAATTGATTCTACATGCTGGACTGTCCCGCTTAAATCGGGACGTATGGTAAGCCTACATATAGCGCAAATTTATGGTCGTTCATGGTATCCGGCCAGGGGCGGATTAAGCCCCTTTGGTGCCCTAAGCACTGAAGACTTTGGTGTCCCCTCATGTGTAATTTAAATATAAAAACAATAAACCACACAAGTGTATTATCCAATAAAAATAATCATAACCAACAGTAAAGAAAACAACTTTTACGAACAATTTTAGGTTTTTTACTGTTATATATAGCCGATATATATATATCCACAGTTTACTGCCGATATGATATATCGGCAAACACGCAATATCGGGCCGATATATCGGTTGAGCTCTAATCCTGAGGAAGTGTGACGATAAAGATTCATGCCTCCAGTTTCAACGTGAATCGGAATACCAAGGGTCATAACTGTGGTTTGAAATTTTACGGTACCTAGTAGTCTACCTCAGGGTGGTTCACGGTTGCTAGGTTGAAGGACCGCAAGAACTTTTGAGGAGGTCGCGCGGATCGCAAATAGACGAAAATTCAAAAGAGATCGAAATATCGCGAGTTTACTTACTTTAAATATAATAAACAGCGAGAGTTTATCGTTCTAACCAGACTATTAATATGTGGCATTGGTGACGTTCTTTTAAAGAAGATATATAAAGCTTTCAGTTATCTTAAAAATAATTCCGACAATTACCGTTGTATTTTGCGCATCTCGCGTTTAATGTCGATTCAAAGGTTAGTGCCATCGTCAAATACCAACCAAGTCCGTCTAAGTTGGTATTTCGGGACCTAGCTAAAAAACAATGGATTGTGCAGCGTTAAGTCGGCTCTGCGTTTCGTCACTACTGTCACATGGCCGACGCTTGAAAACAGAGGAGTGCTTTTATTACTACTAAAATAAAGGCACAAAGCGATAGGAAAAGAGTTTGAATCTCGGGATCCTAACCCCAGTTGGAATAGCTAAAAAAAAAACTTAAAATCGTTCCTCCATTAGATACAAATATACGCTAAAATTGTTCTGTGACCCGCACGGAATGTATCAGCTTGACGGGATTTGGACCACCCTGGTCTACCTTATCAAAAAACTCCCGACTTCGCTGACCACTAATTCGTTGAAATGCGATCGTGGAACCGCCACATAGTGCAAATAGTTCATTGGTCTAATTGTTGAAGATAAAAGAAATTTTTTTAAAACAAAAATGCAGCAACAAGGAGAATACTAGAAATAAAAAACAGCAACAATTCAAGAAAACGACTCATAGGCCAATTTCGTGTCCAATAAATAAGTTTCAGTGTTTATTTTCAATAAAGAAGATTACTTTGATACTTGAAGACGAAAAATAAGCGAACATTTTAAAGTTTGAGTCGTCTGGTGTACTCATAATTTTTTAATAAACATCGATAAACTATATAAAATTCTGCTCTAATATTTCTGTGGTGTCCCTCTTAGCTTGGTGCCCTAAGCACGTGCATGGCTAATCCGGCGCTGTATCCAGCGCTCCCAGACATACTCAATTCACGTAATGTACCAATCTAATTGTAAATGATGTATTGTTTCAGTAACCCCGGGCATTTTTTTTCTTTTTGCGTATCTCTGTTCAGAAATAGTATATCCTGTAAGAAGATCAAGTAATGTCGTTTTATGTAATGAAAGTACCGGTACTGACTATCCGTCAATAGGCTTTGGAGAACTGATTTTGGAGTATGTTTTATTATTCAATTAATGTATAATCAAGTCACACCCCTATATAAACTAACTTTGTACATATTTTAAGTTGCAACTTGAGCGTCTGGGTGGTACATTTACCAAGAGAGTGATAGTCTACCAGGTAAACGTAGAATGACCAGTAATGGTTTAGTATTTTATTCGTTGAGTTTGCTGAAATTTCTAATGATGCAACGATATTTTATTTAAAGATATTGGTAGTTATTTCAACCACTGCAGCGTTTGCCAAATCAATCGCCCAATAGAACTGGCATGCGGTTCGAAATTAGTTCACAGAACGCTATAATTGCCTTCGACTTGATGCAAAATTACGCCGACGAGTTCTCAGTACTACGTCATCAACGGGACATAAAATTTGCGTTCGATTTCGGCAGATTTGATTTTTAAAAATTCGAATCTCGCAAACGAAGTCTACTTCATGCAAGCGGTAAACGCCAAAAAGTATAGAAATCAAATTTGCCACAAAAAGTTCAGTGGCACTGACTGCAAAGAAGATTTCTTGGAATAAATCATTCGGCAGACTAAAGTAGCAATTCAAATGTAAATGGATTTGGTTTCCAAAAATCCATTTCAAGAAGAACTTTTCGAAAAAAGCGTAACGTTGTTAAATATACCTATTATCCAGCCGTTTATACAACAATGTTTATACTGCATCAAAAATAGTTTTATGTGAATATACTTTCGGCACAAGGCTGAATCAATATGTTTGAACTAGAATCGCAAACAACCAGTAAATTATAGATTGACCTAGCACCATCTTGTTTGTGGGTTCTTCCATAAATATATGCGACTTTTCCCACAAACATTCAGATCAACTATGCTTCCGGTAGACTGTAAAATATAATTATATACATCGTATACACTATCCCAGGGGTATCAGACGTCTTAGGAAAATCTTCAAATTGCGCTTCTAAGCAATTTCTGAAAACTGTTCTTATATATTCACCATCAGAAAGTGATTTTCCATGTATATCAATAACAGGAGAAACATGGAAG